CCCGATTGCTATTGGTAGTTTATTCACTTCAATTTGGTCTACATTACCCTTTGTGTTCTTGTTTTTTGGGATTGTTGTATGCTATTGTTAGCTGTCCCGTCACAGTGTTGACTTCTACGATCTGGCTCTGGTCCGTCAACAATTCCTGCAATTCGGCAGCTCCTAAATTGGTGACCTCAGTTCTTGTTACTCCAGCCCATGTCTTTATATGCGAATCTATTTTTGCATTACTTGAAAGTTCAAATTATGAAGTGACTTTGTTTTCTTGCCTGGTGATGCTATTTCGTTTGTATTTCTTTATGTTGTTTGTTCTGATCTGCTCTCTCGCTGATTGGCATTGCGCTTAACTTCTCATTCGCTCACTCCCTGAAGTGCCTAATTTGCTTCCACTCCGTTGTGTGTCCCCTTTTATTTCGGTTTTAATCGCAATTTCTTTTTTCTGTTCATTTTTTTTCTCTAAAACTTGTAGATTTTATTTTCTTAGAATTCCTCTTCACCGCCGGCGTCTAATCTGATGATTGATGAACTGCTTTCAGCAATCACCGCTTAATCTCAAATTTCATAATCTCTCCTTCTTTAGTTATGGTTTTTCTTTCTTTTCCCCGTTCTCCCCTCCTCCTCCTCCTCTGCTCCTACCCTTTCTAGTCGCTCGTGGAGGCTCATTTTCCCATAGTAAAAGTCTCGATGCTCAAGCCAGCCAGTCGACAAAAATCAATACAATTCTCGAGTTGATAGACTCCGAGAAGCACTACCTTACTGACTTGATTGAAGTCAAAGAGGTTGGTTAAATAATCCCCTCTACTTAATACCATTCTAAGTAGTTGTGTTTGAATCATCTTTTCTAATCAGAAATTCTATGAAGGATTGCGGAAACAGGGTGTGAGTGAGCGTAGACTCGCTCAAATATTTTGCAATTGGACTAATATTCGCGAGGTTTCTGAGGCGATTAACAAGTGAGTCATAACATTACTCCATCAATGCTTTTATTTTAGAGATTTCCAAGAGAGGAAACCAAATTTAAAAAAAGGCGAGGATTTCATTGGTGATATTCTTGTTAGACATGTAGGTCGCACGCATTCTCCTTCCCCTTATTAATAATTAGAGTCATTAGGAAATGATTTTCCTCTTTGTAGCTACCAAAATGCATGGTTTACCGAGATTTTTGTGCGCACCAAGACACGGCTTTGGAGAACTTGAAGACACTTTCGGAAGAAAAGAGGGAGGTTGCACAGTTTCTGCTTTCCTGTGAACGCTTCATGAGGGTGCAGTCAATGCCTCTATCCAGCTACTTCCTCAAGCCTATGCAACGAATCACAAAGTACAAACTCATTATTGAAAAGGCGAGTTTCTTTAATTCTATAAAGTCACTTCAATGGAGTAGAAATGAAGGAATTTTTTGGAAGCACATATTAGCGTCCGAATGTCCGACTGTTTTGCCCCTAATTTTTCTACATCTTTTGCATCTTTTAACTTCTGCCAATCTTCGCCACAGCAACAGAATCCGATGTAGGAGGCAGTTGCTATCAACTGTGTCTGTTAGTAACAGTAGACTTGGCGAGAGATCATATTAGTAGAGGTGGTGCAGAGGGGGGGGGGGTATTTGATTATTCTTGGATGGAAATTATACAAGTCGTGTCGGAGGAATGCTAACGCTTATAATCAATCAGGACGCACTTACTCAGCTGAATATTGATGTCGAAGTTGACACATAATTGAGTGTAGTGGAGGCGTTTAGAGTGCTATCCAGTCTACCTTTTAACCAGTAGTTGTATTATAACTGTTAAATTATCGGAAGAATGGAATCGTAAAGGTGAATAAAAAAACTGCACTGAACTGAAGAATAATGCACAGGAATGAATAAGCAGTAATATCTGGAGTAAAGCATTAAGTGGAAACTTGCATCGTAGTTTTTATGTTTGTTTTTGTTAATGACAATCGGGGTAGTGATGTCAACAAGTTGTGTAGGGTATTCTGCTCTGCGTTAATAAGCGTAAGAAGAATTAGGGGTAAAACTTTAATCGAAGAGACGTATGTGTTTAAGCCAGTAATAAGTCCCTTTGCTCAGACTAATGCACTTTCTTTCCTAACAGTTAGTAAAGCTTACTCCTCCTGATCATCCCGATCACAAGAATCTGGAACAGTCACTCGAGCTCGTATCTACAGTTCTGTCAGTCTGCAATGAGGCTATTAAAAACCAGGAATCCTTTGCCCAAATTTGCTGGCTTCGTGACCACCTAACCTTTGACAGTGATACGGGGAGTTTTGGAGTGTGTGGTGAAGATGACCGTCGTCTAATTGACATGGAAGTAGAAGTTGGTGGTGAGAGAAGACGGCGTCTACTGCTCTACTCTGGCACACTCTACAAAGCGAAATCGAAGAAGGAGCTTACCGCTTTCCTTTTCACTGATATGCTACTTCTAGCTCAACCAGTAAATATTTCGGCAAGTTCTCTTCCCTCTGGGAATCTGATGCTCCCTCAAAAACCCGACGCTACTCTGGCCAAGGTCAATTTCAAGACCTACAGACGGGGAATTTTTTTGTCACAGGTGTGTTTTTCTCTCAAGCAGGGAAAAAGCTGCGAATGGAATGGCCACTTGAACTCCTTATTGAGGGTGCTTCTATATCTTATAGCCTATCGATTTTCGCCGTACAAGATGAGAGGGGGGGGGGTGTGGGAAATCGAGACAGTCGAGGCCGATGCTTTTAGAGAAATATCGGGGTTTACTTGAGGCGTAGAGATGATGGAGAAATAGGTTTGTTGGGTTATGATGGCTTGCGGATAAGCTCTGATGAAATTACTATTTTTTTCAGGTGGAGAGAAATATGTATGAGTCTACAGAGGTGATCCCACGGCTCTCTTAAATTCCTATATAAATTTCATGTTAATTGGTTTCACAACAGTTCATTTGGGATTGTGTAATTGTATGTGGAGCAATGCATAAACTGTAGCCTCATTTTAATTATCAATTTGAAACTTAATGCAATAAAACATGTGCTATGTCTATTTATTATTTGGCGAACAAACTGGTGGTTGCTTATCCCTGACCCTCCCATCTCTCTCCTGCTTCTCTTTTTGGCGCGTTGTATCTTTTAGATGTCCTTTAATGAGGTTTCAGATTTCTGTGCCTTGTAAATTGGGTAATAAGTGTACGGCAAGGAGTTTGTCTGCAAGGGAAAACGAGTTTAGTAACATAAATACTAGCTTGGAAGTTTAAAATAGGATGGTGTGTTGATATGTTTATAAGGCCCAGGGGTTGCACTTATTCACGGAATTTCGAAGCAGTTGTCTCAGGCAGCTTCATTTCTCCTTGCTTAAGATCCGAGTTGTTGCAGCATCCTCTCTATCCCCAAAGCATCAACGCAAACGTTCAGTATTCCGTGGTTCACGAGGGAGTGTTGCTGATATCTCCTCCTTGGCAAGTGGAGGCAGTGACGGTAATAGCCCTGGTGATGTGAGTCGAGAAGTTGTGATGCGCTCTAGACGCCGTTCGCTGGCAAATCTTCGCAAGATGTCTCTCAGTGTATCCAACTTGAGTTTGGATGCCTTAGATTCTGACTCCTCGACTTTTCTCATCACTGATGACAGTGATTCTAGCGTGCATCTCCTCTTGCGTGCCCCCTCTGGAGAACTTCGGTTTGTCAACTACTTAACTCCTCCTCATGTGCTGATGCCCATTTGATCAAGTTAAATCCAATTGTTCTTTTTTTCTATTTTGTAGTACCTCTTGGATAGAGTTTATACAGAAAGCCTCAGAAGAATATCGCCATTATCTGGGTCTCTTCAGAAATCCTTTCCTCTCCAGTACGGTTAGAGAATCTCTCTTTGCTGCCGTTCTCAATTTGACCGTCGTATCCGCTTCCGGCCTACCCCTGATGGGGCCTAGCGAAGATGGTACGATTCGTCTATCTTTTTTATATTCTACCAGAATACTGTTTATGTACAGCTGGTGTTTTCTTTAGAACTACCATGGCCGTATTGTGAAGTGAGCTTGTGTCTCCGTTGCAAACGAACCAACGTTATTCTTAGCACCCGTTCGCCAAAATGGAATTGTTCTCTTCGTTTCACCGTGAAGGATTTGACTCGCGATGTCGTTACCATCAACGTTTACAGCAAAAGTGCCTCCTCTTCTTCCGAACTTATCGGCAAAACTGAGATTGGCATGCCAGAGATTGTTGAGCACTGCCAAGGGGATAGAACATGGCATACCATTCTTCCCTTAACCCTCACCTCTCCAAATGCTCGCAGTAGCGCCTCAATTACTCTCGAATTTGCTCTGACAGAAAATTTTGCAATGTTTATGGCTGAAGATTTGAGATGATATATATATATATATATATGTATATATATCATACTAACAAATAAATTTCTTAATTTGAAATGTCTTCCTTTTTTGCTTTACTACTGAATTGTTGTAAGCGTCAAAATCGTAATGAATATTTTATTATAGGCTCAACAACTATTACTGAAGGAGATTAACGTTGGACCCGAGGTTGACCCCGAGTACGCAGCTTGGTTCAATATTGTTTTTTGGTTTGTGGCGATGTTTGCGTTGGTTATCTGGGCCGTCGCTTACGCAATGTGGAACATGGATCCTTGTCGCGATGGCATTATTTATCGATTGAGCTCTAGCAAACCGAAAATGGAGTAGATATCTCTATCTCTTTCATGGACTTCTTTTTACTCTCTTGATTTACTCTGTGTGTGTGCATGTTTTTGTATGTGGTTCTTCCTCTGTCTGTCTCTTTTCCTCCCTATCTTCTCCATTATTTATGGACCTACTGTCGTGTGCTCTTTTTTGTGCTATTAAGAAAAAATAACACTAATATAATCATAGTTAGGTATTAATTTTTCCACTCACCATTTGGCTTGCATAATAGTGATAAGTATTTCTAGTGAGTAAGGCTTTATAAAGGACGTAATGCCAATTGGTGGATTCACTCAGTTGATTACCTTCTGTGTAAAGTAAGTTCCGAATTTTAAATGGCTTATTCGGGACAAGAAACTGAGGTGCGAAACAGCAAACGAGTAAATCAAAACATTCTTAATCAATATTTCGAAAGCTTTTGCTTGGTATCGCCGATAAATATCGTGTGTAAAGGGTATGCTTTACGTTATAACTTGGGTTTGTTTATTCCAGGTATATTAAAGACGTTCACACACACACACACTACGGAGACTGGAAAGTCAAAATCTTCTTTATTCGTCGTCGTGAATGAACAATATCGATAATCCGTTTAATTCACGGAAGTGAATAACTTATATTATGATGATTGACATCGGTAGCACTTCAATGCTTTCTGAACATAGTGAAAGAATCTCCCATAAACTAAAAGAAGGTAGTCGGGACTGTATGACGATGTGCTCTGAGATGGCGATCAGAATGGACGAACTGATAAGCCTTTCTGATCTTATGGCTAACTTAAAGGAAACTTGTCTCCACTGATACAAACCCATCCAAGAGACACGGAGTTCAACTTTTTGCTGTAAATTGTGGTCTGTCGAAGAGGAGCAAACAGGGCATAATTACGTACAGACAATGCACTAGATTTCTTATTAAGTAAATATGGGTCAAGCTTGACTTGGACATAGTTAAAGAAATAAGATTCCCCTAAACCGTCATGATTAACAATCGTACATCCTCCTCCGTAGACAGTGATTGTTATCTTCCTCTACATGGTCTATAAGATGGGTTTCAGTTTCTTTCAGATATATATATATATATATATAAAATCCATCTAACGGCTTATCTGTCTATCTATAGATAAATATATACATGTAATATCGCCGAATTAACTGAGTAATTAGAATATAAAATTAATAGAAAGCATGACTACTCCTAGGTAGTAAATTGTTATTGCGTTCAAATGCATTCACAATAATTTTAAATAGATTTGAAATAATAAAAACTACAGCGCTAGATTTTAAACTGTAAATTTGGTAAAATGATACTATCAATAATTAAATATAATTATCACGCTTATATTTTCCCCTTTAAGGCTTAAATGGCAAGAATATTATAATTTGTCAAAAGGTTCATTTTAACACGTCGATTAATCTACCAATCCAATTTTCCCCTTGAGGTTACAGTATGATCGAACTAATCTCGTGTGCTGCGTGTTTGGCTATCGTGTTTAATTTTAGGCAAGCGGGCAGCGATGGCTGATTCTCAAACCTGTCCCAAATGCAATGCAAGCAAATACAATAATCCACAATTAAGATTGATGGTTAATCTTTGTGGACATTCCTTGTAAACATATTAATTATGAATAACTCCTCGTAGATGTGAAAATTGCGTCGAAGTTCTTTTCGCGAGGGGATCTGGTCTCTGTGTTCAATGTAAAACTCCAATTCGAAAAGTTAACTTTCGGTATCAGCTATTTGAAGACCCTACAGTTCAGAAAGAGGTTGATATTCGAAAGAAGGTTCTCGTTGAGTAAGTCTTTTGATTAACCATTTAATAATTCGTTACATTAGCTTTAACAAAAGGGAAGAAGACTTCGATACTTTGGAAGAATACGATGCCTATTTGGAGTTGATTGAAGATATAAGTGAGTTTTTTTTTCAAATTAATTAGTTTTTTTCAGTTTATAAACTTTGCAACGATATTGACGTTGATAAAACTAGAAAGTTTATCGAGCAGTATAAGAAAGATAATAAAGACATAATCAAGCGCAATCGAACAAAGTTGGTACGTTTAAAGTTCCGTTTTTTCTTTCTTTTTATTTGTCGTCTATTCTTTTATGTTGTTAGTAATAAATACACGTTTTATTCATCGAAGAAATTGTTTTGAAAAGCAAAAGTTTTCCTCTACCCGTGGTATATATCTTGTCCCACTTTCTGGAATTTGTGGTTAGATGTGGCTTTTTCGCTGTCAAACGTTGCTTTAATTTTTATTGCCTTATTTATATTTTACGGTTTTTAAGATGAGATTTTACGCAGTATTCACGACATATAAAGATAATGTGAAACTAGTATTTTCCCTACTAATGTTTTTATGCTGCATATTATGACTTATTTCCTAATAATTCATTATTCTTATTTTATTTTGCACTTTATTTCCCATTATCAACTTGAGTCATCCTTGGCATTGTTTGCGCTTCCTTACGTCTATATTTTAAAACTACTCTCCCACTTCCATAGACACGAGAATGAACTTCTGAACATACTGAAAGAAAAAATCGAGTATGTAAATAAAAACAATTGTCATTTATTGAATTCAGCAATAGAATTATTTTGTAGCCAACAACAAAGACACATTTTTATTATATTTCATATTATCGTATCTTTGTTGAAATATGCAGAACAATTTTCTTATAGATCTCGAAAATATAATTTCAAAATAGCAGGGCGAATTCTTAGTTTCATGTATTCCCTCTCTCTGTGTTTTCTATTTAAGCTCATGTACGAGTTAATTTTTTCATTTCATTGTTCCTCAAATAATTCGCTTCAAATAGACACTTAATCCTTTGCGAGACGCACAGCTATTGTCATTTCCTTATTTCAGTCCAAATGGGCAGAGTTCTATGAATCTGAACTGGAACATGAACGAGCTGAACGTGAGGCGCGTGCGGAGGCAAAGGCAGCCGAAGATGCAGCAAATTTGCATCGCCGAAAGCGTCTTGTTGCAGCCGCGTCTATTCAAGGGTTCCTTTGCGGTCCCGCAGCAGTTCCTCTTCCCGAGACAACGGCCCCTGCACCAACACTCGAAGGCACTGAGGTAACCCATCAGCAAGTCACCTCAGAGTTACCTTCGGTACCTCCATCTGCTCTTCCTATTGACTCGAGGTATAGATTTCTTCCCCCGCCCACCACTGCCTTGCCTTCTGCTCGACCCATGGCACCTCCGTCTGCTATTCCTGGTCGATGGGCTGTTCCCACACCCTTTGCTCCCGCTTCTGGAATAGCTGGCGTGTCTCCTTTCTCCATGCCCACCGTTCTTCCATTAGGGAACTCATGGGGAAATGCTTTAGATCCTCTGGCCACACCGAAAGCTGATAAGGTGGTTCTTTCTCGTTCACGAACTTCAAAACCCACCGTCACTTCTTCAGTAACTAAGAGTGGACAAACTTCTACACAGGGCAGAACACTTTGTGAATGGCTGAAACCTTATAAACCAGATGTAGTTGGTCCTCTTCCCCCGATTGAGGAAGATGGTGATCGATGGGCTAGTCTGATGTCTGTCTACTTGAAGACTGTAGTTGAACCGCTAACTGCGCGTCTTGATGGTCCAAACACAAAGTGGAAAGATTGTGCAGAAGAGGAGGATGGAAATGTGGTTAAAAAAGGTCTGTCACATGACTTGCCTATAGGAACAACCGGAATTTCTCCAAGCACCCATCTTTATCGTGCCCTCGAAGAAAGCCGTTGTTTTTTATTCAATCCCCAATGATTTTCATTGACCTCAATATCCGTTGTGTTGTTCTTATTTTAATACAAAATTGTACCAATTTGCTTTGAAATTCTTTATATTTTTTTGTATCATTAACAATTTTGGCTCTTACAAATTTTTTTTGTCAGTCGCAAAGTTTAGTTCTATTTTATGTGTTCTACTTAAATGTTTTTTAGAAGTGTCGACGCTTTAATTCCTTTTGTAGGTTTTATCAATTTGGGTTCTAACTGCGCAGCTTTCCTCCTCCATTCTAAAATTCCAAGCATTTTCCTGTCCACATACATTTTCTATTTGTCGAAACTTAATAAGCTCACAATTTCGTCTATTGTCCACAATGTGCTCATCAGCGATTGGAGAAAATGACTATTCCCTGCCACCGGCTTTGGATTTACAGCTCGATAAGAGCGTTTTCAAACGAAAAGAGATATTTTTCGCTGTTGGGCTACCTCTAGGTAGAGAATTCAAAAACATTTGCTCTAAAATTCAACGCTTCGGCCCGGGCTATATTTCTCTGCCCAAGTTCAACAAAATCTAGTACTTTTGCTGATGAATTAAAACTAGTTCTACTTTAATTTTTTCAGTAGACTTTAATCCTACTTTTCCATTTTCAGCGAAGACTCGAATGGAATCAAACGCAAACTTGTTCCAGTTCGAAGCATTGAGGACCCCAAAGATTGGGAATTTCTTCGAGAACTTAATATCGACATACCAGAGGCGCCAGATGAAGAAATTCGTTATTTGAAATCTCATCCAGACGCTGCTCTCATTGAGAATTGTTCTCCAAACCAAGGGGGATTGGATAACATATTGCCTTCAAAACCATCAGCCTTTCGTCTTTCCATAGATTACGAAAATATTACATTTGAACGTGCTATTAAAACCGTTTTACCACCCGATATGGACTCTGTTACTAGCTTCTCATTGGTTGGCCATGTGGCTCATTTTAACCTGAAACCCGCCGCTCTTCCTTACCGCAAGTTGATCGGTCAAATAGTTATCGATAAACTACCGCATGTGCGGACTGTAGTTAACAAGGCAGCTAAAATCGATACAGAATTTCGCACATTTGCTGTGGATTTAATGGCAGGCGAAGAGAACTATCTCACAGAGGTCAAAGAAAATGGAGTCACTTTCCATCTTGATTTCTCTAAGGTCTATTGGAATTCTCGCCTTGGAACCGAACATACAAGAATTGTGGATGAGATTAAAGGGGTTGCCAAGCTCTCTGAGACTAAACCGGTTGTAGTGTATGATGTATTTGCTGGCGTTGGACCCTTCTCCTTACCCCTAGCCCGTTCAGATGCATGTGAGGTCTTAGCGAATGATCTTAACCCCGTTTCATTTCATTTTCTCAAAGAAAATGTTCGTAAAAATAGCTCAAGGAAACACCCTCTTACTGAAGACAAAATCCAGTGTTTCAATCTGGATGGACGCGAATTTATCAAACAGGTAATTGTTTAGATTTTTAATTATTCTTCTTTCTTTCATAGGTAGTGCTTCCACATTTCGAGACGGCATTACAATCTGATGTGTCTCGGTTCTTCATGTTGATGAACCTCCCGGGCTTGGCCATAGAGTTTCTTGACGTATTCCGAGACTTTTGCCTTGAAAATGGTACATCTAGACCTATTCATACTCGATGCTACTGTTTCATTCGACACACTTTAGAAGGTGGCACTTCTAAGGCCCTAAAACATCAAGAGGCGGATACGTTGGCCCGTGAAAGGGTCTGTGGGGCGTTGGGTATTGATCCTGCGTCTATATTGCTCGATAACTCCCAATGCACATCTTCACTTCCTTGTGGAATTCATTTGACGAGCTGGAATGTGCGTTTTGTAAGAAATACAGCCCCACTGAAGGATATGTATTGCCTTGAATTCGACCTACAACTTCCTTGTGACAGAGGATCAAAACGTCCTAGAATAGAGTAAAATATCATCTTTTTTTTCAATAATCACTTACTGTGCCATATCAATTAGCTTTTATTATTAATTGAGTAGGAGCGAAAAGTTGACTGTATTTGTTAAGCACTTATTTCATTCCTCCCAGCCTTAATTACTAACTTAATTACTCGTCTAATTACTTAGTAGGAAAATTAAATTAAGTCAGCTCCACACTTATAATCTCCATTCTCTCTCTCTCTCTCTCTCTGTCTACTCAATCTCAGAGTGGGATTTCCATTTGTAATTTGCCAATTGAAAACAGGGAACGTCTAGTTTTCTACTTTATTTTGCTTTTCTAGCGCGGTTTAAATCTATGCAAGTGACAAAGGAGACATACATAGGTTGTTGAAAGATACTGTGTGTGTGTGTGCGTCTCAGTTCGAAAAGAGAAAAGCATAAACAATATATTCTAAACGGGACTTGTCGGATGTGGATAGTGTATTTCGATTCCAACTGGAGATGTTCCATCTTTCGCGATCTTCATTGCATTATCTATTGATAACAGTAGGACAAGTAGTTATTGGTTCGTTTAAGGAAAGATGGAAGTGAGAAGGCATACCTCTGGGTTAGCTACGCATGGGTTACAGCATACGCAGAGACAAGGGGTAATAATTCTAAAAAAGTATTAACTTATAGTTAGCAGGCAATGAGGCGTTAGAATCTCTATCTTCATGTCAGATAAGGTAGTGTTGGGGGGGGGGGACCTTACACTTTTGGCACCTTTTTAAAAGAACAGTCGTGATCAGTAAATAGGTGCTTTATACTGAAATGAATTTACTAGAATTTTGGAATTTCCATGTGGAGGGAAGTGGAGATAGCACTTACCCAGGACAGTTGCACCGATTGCCTGTGTTTACGTAGGTGGTTGGAATATACGTCCTAGAATAATGGGCTTCCTCTTCCGTGCTTCTAAAAGAACGAAATCACTAGAGGCAGTCTATCAAACTTAAATATTGCCTTCTACCGAGAGGCGGTCTTAAACGTAACACTTGAATGCAAGGTTTATGCTTAAAGGAAGCCGGTTACAGAAAAGACAGAGCAAACGTAGATAAAAAGGTATGTCCAACTTATTGTCTGTAAAATGCATATTGACGCATGAATTGTGGCAAAAATAATTGTTCCAGACTACGAGTTTAATTATATACTCAAGAACGCCACTTTTCTACCCGATAAAATTGACTTTAAACTGTTACAGGGGGGGGGGTGGATATTTAAGGCATTTTCTATGGGAAGGCCTATTTCACTTCAAAATATGGGATCAAGCTGATTAAGTTTCAATGATATTTGTTTGTAATGGCTACTCTACCACTCCATCCATTCCTAATTTTGAGCATACTTTAGAAATGGCCTTTCCACATGAGTAAGGCCACTGCTTCTTCAAGATTATTAGTTCTAACAGTGGGCATATGGTCTGGTTTGGTTGTTCGTTAGAAGCAACCCTAGTGTCGAATTTACTGCCATTTTCGCCACTAGTTTAGTAGATGCTGTCAAACTTGATCAACCTGATTAGCAGGCTATCCTGAGAGGTTGAAAGACAAGAAATAGGCTAATTGATTAAGCAATAAATTAGAAGTAAATCGAATATGGACAATTCGAGAGATAGTGGGAAGTTTTAACAAATAAACAGCAAGAAGAATTAAGTATCCACTTAAATGCCGATGCATGAATCATGATCATAACAGTGTAAAAGGAGGGAGTTTAATCATGCTGATCTTTCCTAAACCGAAATCCGTTTTGTAACATCTCAGAGTTTTGATTTACCCCACCATATGTGACCAATTAGGCGAAGACTAATCTGAAAGGTAATCAAACAGCATACTATTCTATTTGTACCAAATTACCACCGCTATCTACGAGTATGAGAAGCTCTTCATTGGTAGTGCAAGCTGGAGGAATAAATTTATTGCTTAAATGTAGAAAGTAGTACTCACGAGGAGCTGGAAGAGGAGGAATACGACTTTGCTCGCTGACGCCTTGGCTTCTTGCAGTTTTCAACACCTAAAAATAAAAAAGCCTAATTGAGACTCGCGGTTCTGTTATTAGCACACTATAATTATTTTTTGACATCGTGTATTGGTCGGTACTTGAAGTTTTAAAGTGAGAGGATAATTTTTAGGGACTTGGGTGTACATTGGGAATGTCATTCTCAAATAAATTTTGATAGTTCGCATTTAAGATTATTATGCAGATCTAAGGCCTTATCAAATTGGTTTTTTTTATTAATTATTGTTCTATATAAGAAAGAATGCGTAGATTTTGTACAGGTGTAATTATTTGTAAGACCTGTTTATTCACACTTTCACGTTAAAGTTGCTGATTTTACACCTTCGGAATTTTGAAAATAAAAGATTATTTTATTAAACTAAACCGAAGAAATCACCATAACAAAAAATAAGCTTCGAGCCATCCTTAATTGGAAATACACTTTGTGAAGGGTATCATGCAGACAGAAGAGATTGCGTGCGCTAAATCAATTCAGTAAGTGCGCACGTGCTCACCGATGGCCTGTGTGCAGAGACCTTCCAGACTAACAGCGAGAAATATTGAGCGACTAAAGTTAATTTGCACTCTGCAGTAAACTCAATACGCATGGTGTCTCCTTTGTTCGCAATGCTTTGGATGTAGACAAGTTAATTGGTGGGGGAGGGGGGGGTTGACTTATACCAGAAGGCATCTGGAGGCTGGCTACACCTGTCAACACCCAGTTGGACTTTAAAGAGCATAAACTGAGGCATAGTCCAGGGCTTGCTTAAACAGTATTAGTCGCGAATTTTGCAATGAGATTGGCAAAACGACCAAGGAATTTAATTTCAATTGACTAGATATACTACCTTGGAAAAAGTTCAATAGCTTGAAATTCGGAAATTTCGATCTTAATGAACAACGACAGCCCTTAAAAATTGATTTAAGTATCTTGTTACTCATTGGAGGAACATACAGGATTTACTTGAAAGCATTAGGAGGTCAATCATCATCATGGCTCCGAAAGTCCCCTTTCATGGGTGACAGGTCAATTATTAGATAAGGCATAAAGTTATCGCTTTAATAACTTTGTATTTGTGTGCTGTGGAAATTTCTTAAACGTCAAGGCAAGATTTTAAGTGCATTACTCACCTGAGCACACAGTTATTAGGAAAAAAAAACAAATAAAGTTAAGAAGAGGCTCGTGGTTAGAAAAGCGTAAAGCGATTGCCATATACTCCAATATGCAATTTGAGAGGCTGATATAAATGAAAGGGTGAAGAGAGAAAGGAACGACACCTACAGACATAGAAGTCATCACCTTGGCTGCAATCACGTGGTCCAAGAACCCTCAAGTACTTGTGGTCGCTAGTTTCAATGATAAGATCTCCTAAAAGTGCGCAAGTAATGATAAGGATTCACCACGTAAGCGCAAATAACACCAAGTCATCCAATTACCGTCACGAATGTCATTTTTCGATTTGATTGGAGCTACTCTATACGTGCACTAAAACAAAAGCAATATGATTATATACAGATCTTGCTTGGTTCCTATTCTTATAGTTAATTGAATCATGTTTTATGATATAGATAAACAGCAAAGATACTTGGAAAAAAATAAAAATAAAATTTAAGGATTGAAAAAAATATTGACTGCTTCTTTGAATACTTGACTAGACGCACCTTTGCATGTAAATTACTTACCGCCTTTAAAACTATTTGTTATAGGGGCAAAGCACATTATAGGAAAATCGAAGGTCATTAAATCATGATCCATAGACAGAGTCTATTGCATTCTGTCTTGTTGGTAACTCAGTGACAGGTATTGTGCCAGCACCTACCTCGTAAAACCTCCTCAGATGTAATTTGTTTTAACCACTACAAACGGTTTTGGAGGCAGAGATTTAAAGTGCTAACGAAATCAATTATTGGCACTTAACAAATCGGAAGTTTTCGATGCTGAGGATTTCCTAACAGCAACTAGAGCCAATTGAAGACAATGCTTTTAATAACTATGACCACTTCTTCACCCTATTCTTCCCCCCCCCCGGCTTGTCATGCAACCAAATAGATAAACACCGTTTCCAAATCCATTCTTTGTCATATATGGGCTAAATAATGAGAATAATGAATTCCACCGAATAGTTTCCATAATGCTAATCCTCTCTTTCAGAGCTCACGCAAATGCTTGAAAAACTTTCATATACTGGAAACGGTTCGCAGGTAAGCACAATCGACGCTAATTGATAAAGTTATCTTAGGAATTTTACCCTGTTTTTCCACTTTTTGGCAATTCGTTTCACCCCTACCTTCCAGAATGACAACTACTACCTTTCAATAAGGCCCAATAAGAATGAAGGGGACGCATTGGCATAATCACTTACACCGGACTTCGATGGTGACTTTACTCTAGGACGTCTTGGTGATGGCTAAAGGTAAAGCAGTAAATAAGGATTCCAAGTGGGTAATTATTTTTAACCAACAAATTGGACAACATACAGATTGTCTTCTAGTTGGCGACGTTCCTTTCCTTGAGGAAATCTGTAAATATGTAGAAAAAGGGGATTTTATTTTATTCCGTCTTTTTTTCTTGGATGAATATAAATTAACGCGAGAAAATGCGGTTATTCCTTTGCGATCTAACTCCTAATAATAATCTGAAACAAAAGATGCAATTATCTTCTGAAATGAGGAAAAAAAGATATATTTTTAGACTTCCTTGACAGAAAGGACAAACATTTAAGTATTTAATCTGTTATTTATTAATTAAATTTATTACACCCTTGAAAGAAAGTGAAATGTTACGTGAAGTCCTTGGAAATTTAGAAAAATATTATCCTCAAAAGTTAATATTAAATTAGAACATAATTAAGCATTTCCCCGGTTTTTGAGCTCAGTGCATCTCCAATCATTCTCCATCATTTCGCAACCTTGACACTTACACATCTTGATTTGGGGTTGCGAACCTTTAACGCATGAAAGCCATGTTACAATTAAATCAAATTAGTCATTGTTTGATACCATGCAATTAACGTTGTTGTGGTGTTTGTTAGAGATGGATTTGCTTTAAAACTTGACTTAAAGCGAGACATAAATTACAATCAATTCACTAATTCAATGTGTTACTTATCGTAAGTTTGCGTTACACTTCAATGACTTGAGTATTATTAGTGATGATGACCTTGAAATGTGGTGGATGAATAAAGTCAACATACTTAGTGGGATTAATAGTGTGTGATAGAAATCGCTAAATTCATCAATCCAACTTGCAGTGTTAATTTTGACAACTTACCACCCTAAATATCGGTGAACACTGTCGATAACACAAAAAGTGACTTCCTACTATTATTTTATTTATTTCAATTAATTAATATTAAATATTATTTAAAAATTCACTATATTTTCACGTTTTTTATCAATACTACTTGAATAATTTAATATTGTAGTTGTTGTGCTTTTAAACATTTATTTGAAAAGATCTTACTCGTCTTGGTGAATGGTGTTTGACCCCGAGCGGATATTCCTTGAAGGCAAACAAAGCAAAAGTGTTATCTTGGTGTATCTCGTATTTAAAATGAAACTTCCTTAAAAAACTAATAAAGAATATTCATTAACACTAAATTAAGTCCAAAATTTATTAAAAGTAAAAGTCTGCCGAAGTAAATAGTCGAATAAATGTACCATTCATTCTCATAGAATATAACGCGAAATCGGTAAAGCTCAATTTGCCTCTTTTTATTATATATATTTAAAAGTCATTCCAGAGATTATTAAACATTCTAATTTTAAATTTACTTATGGTGGTGTTGTTGTTCTTGAGTGTACATGTGGTATCTTGACAGTATTAAGGGTAACCCTTAGTTTCAATTTCCATATAGTATACTAAATTAGTTTATTTAAATTTCAGTTCAAAACCTTTTTTCACTTTAGGGTGAATGTACAGCTCTTCTCGAAGGCGTAGCTGCCATCTGGAAAAAACTTGTAAAGTTCAGGGCGAAATATGACTCATAGCCATTGGAAATTAAATAAAAAAATAAAATATTGAAATTTGTTTGAGAAACTTCATTTGTCAATCAAGTTAACTTAGAACAACTCTCTGTGCAGACAACCATACAGCCAGTGGCTAGTCAGAGGCCTCCGTTTGTTTAACCTAATCCGCCATGCCGATTATGATTAAGCTCCCTGATACTTACTGAATAAACGTGTTCCATGCTATACGTCTGTTTCCTCTGTAGCTGAGCTATAGCTTGGCTAGTTCTGGAAGTCTAGCTAGATGTTGGAGAATCTGCCACAAAGATTTCTGAATTAGTCAGGCTTTACTTGTGTAGCAATCCTCTGCAGAAGAAACACTTCTACAGGAGTGAATGGGATAATTTCAGGAGAATACGAATTTGAATTTAAACTGAATAGTCAATGAAGCCATTAGACAGAAAACAAATATTTCAGAAATTTTTCAACACGGCTATTATATGTCAAGCAAAATATGGCAGCACATAGTGCAGGGAAATTCTTCTATACTTAAAATTTAAACGAAGTTCACTTATTTGAGTACAAACTTTGACAACATATAGTCGAAATTAGAAGTGTGAATTGTTTATAAAATTTTGTCCAAATTCCGGAAATTCTTATTCCCTTTACTTATATCAGATTCAATAGATCTTCCAGATCAGAAATGGTAATTTTATTTGAAGTAAGAAAGCATTTTCCATTTTCAATTGTAAAAAATATTTTAGGTAAAATTGGAACAAAATTCTGATTGGAGAATTGAATTGGACCAAACTGATATTTGCCCGCCACGAACATAGGAGGCATGAAATTGATCAAATTTGCGTGTTAAAAACTTCAAAAAGTAATTTTATAAAATTTATATCCAAAATGGGATTTATAGCCTCAACCATTAATTTATTTGAATAAATAGGAGCAAAATGGTAAATAATTTCCAACATTTCAGGAATATATTACATCGAATCGCCGATCATCCATTTGGAGAGTTTTAGACCCGCTAAATTGTCATTCCGGAAACGCTTCTAGCTGACAAGTAACATGAGGTGTAACTGACTATTCCTCTCTTGCGAGGTAGCTTTGACAAAAAAGCATGGATCATATCAGTTTTTGATGAAAATAGATCTAATTAGTAAATATTTGAAGGCATGCGATAACTCATTAATCAAATTACGACCGGAAGATAAAGGGCGGCAATTTTAAAATTCACTTAATAGAACCAGGATAACACAAGGAACTTCGGCGAATTTGCCAGGGAAAATTGAGATAACTATTATTTATTGAAAAATTTCACCTTAACCTCATTTATAACTTTAAATGGGGTTTTAATTGGGGATGAATGAGGCCTACTTATCTTGCCTGTGGCATGTGGAAGATGCATGAAATATTTGCAGCTTTCAGCAAAAATGCAGAATTTTGGACTCAAACTGGAACCGCCAAATTAAGTGTAATAAAGGTGATTTTCGATAAAAATTTAAAAAGACATTGACATTTCCTCCTCATTGATGACTACATTTTCAAAAAATAATAAGCAAGTATATATTTAGTTGAAGTGAAGGGAGGGGTTGATTCTGGTCTACAATCATCAAATTACCCAAAAATACTTTTATTTTAAAATTTGCCTACGTAAAAATGCTGGTTGATAGCCTTTATATCACATTACGCATACGTTTGCCTGCCTATTCAATATTTAGATGGAGCTCATTAACCTGACAGCTTCTGATAAAGTGTGACATCAAAACGTTAGTCATCATTGTGAGAGCTATTTAATTTTGATTCAATTACGTAATTCATATGATTATAACTGCAAATTTATACTGAATCAAATTGAAACAAATCTTCCAATACATAGACTATGTCTGCGTATATGGACAAATATTTCCTTAATCTTTGGTGAAGTCATTATATACTCAGCAAAGCCAGCCCATCGTTATAATTTTCTAAGTTTAATTTTGGAAATATTTCAATTGGTTCATTTTATTTACTAGAATCAAATTTTGCCAAACGTATTTACCTACTTGTAACTAATTAGTTGGGGAACATGAGTAAAAATGCATCAAAGATAGAGAAAATTAAAAAATTATTAATAATCCCTAACTAACTCTGAACGATAACGATTCGAGATAAGTTTCCAAAACAAATTGCACCCAAATTAAAGACATTAATGCTAACCATCATATATAAAACGTCTGTGAAGAATAGATTGGGGAAAGGGGGGGGGATTGATGAAATCTCGTAAAATTGGCAGATTGCTTTTGAAATTTTGTGAAAAAAAAATGAAAAATAATAAAATTCAACGAAGAAACTTGGGAAGAAACGTACACTATGCATTGGTATTTGAATGGTGTGCGTTGGAGACGCCTGAATCAGAAAAAATATAAAGTGCAAATAGTTAAAAGTAGCGCCTTATCATCTGGATTTTAAATATCTAGATTTGGAGCATAGTTAATGTTTGTTTAAATAACTTATAAATTAATACTTGTATGTATTTGATTAGACCGATTTAGCAATAGTTTTAAGATTTAATTTATTGCAACCTCTTGGTATACGTGCTTTTATTAAAGTGTTGATGAATAGGCTAAAAATTTGAATAGAGATGCTAGGGTTTCTCTTCTTTCCTATATAAGGTTGACTAATATACTAATTTAATTAAATACTTTAAAGCATAGTGACACGAATATTTCTTATTTTTGAATATTAGAAAATAAATATTCAATAACTACCTACGTAACGAACTGGTGGATACATTGATTCACCAGCAGAATGACCAGGAGACGCCTTTAAAAAACAGATAAAGTTATATAAACTTGAATAAACGTTATAATTACTAAAGCGAATTTTGCAGTTTAATCAAATAATTGCATTAGTTCACTCCTAAAGTTCATTCACGCAAAAATTATAAATATTTTTTGGAATGCATTTTTTAATTTTTTCCTCTCAAAATTAATTAACAGGCTCATTAAGCGTTTGTTTGACGTTGCCACTAAGGCAAGGAACAATTTGAAAAAAAAATAATTTCCTTCATTGGCGTGCATCTGATTAAGACTGTGATAATGCCTATCTTCCAATAATTTCCTCAACAAAAATAGAGGCCAGTTAATTTTTTTTCAAGTAAAAATTTAATAAATACTAATTAAATACGTACATGACGAATTGATTTATGCACTGGTTCTCCATCAGCACAGTACTTCTTCCGAAGGATTTTTAAGAAGGCTCTAGTTACCAAAAAACATTAACCAATGAAATCTGACGGTTTGTGAGCTTTTTTATTTTTGTGTAAAACCCTACCCATTTGCCCAGATTTCACCTTCTCCCAGATAAGCGTACGGTTTTCCATCTTCAACCTCGCCTTCCATCTCAGGTTGTTCAACTTTCTGATGCTTCGGCTTTTTCTGTGGTCTGATTCTTTAAAACAAATATATTGTAAAATTGTTATGAAAAGGACTTAGTGTTTGTGATGTTGAAAGAAAAGCCATCTATTTCGTAACAAACATGCCAGTCTTATTGGTGTGACTAGTTAAAATGTTGCAACGCCACTATGGAGTGACAATAATTTCAAACCAATTGAATAAGAAATGAAGTCGTATTTTTTCAATTATTAGAATTGAAATTTCTTGAAATAATGCTATTGCAAATTTTGACAATGGTAATTAATCATATACCAGTATCATATGAAAAAATAGAGAAAATGAATTTTCACAAAATATATGAAGTAAATCTTACATAACATACCGTTGCTAGATTATCAATATCTTTGCCAATAAAATACTCTCTGTTCACTTGCTTACTTAATTAGAATAAAAGGTATTTTAAATTATGATAGGATTTTATAAATTTAAACTTTCGCAATTGCATTGACGGTTATGACATAAGTAAGGCAAATGTTTCAAGACTTACTGATATTCAGATTCCTGGTAATTTCCAGCATAACAGCATGGACATCTGCGTTGGCTGAACATTTTGTTCTGAAAAAGGCTAGTGATAATTAGTTTCCCACAGAATGTATGTGGTGGTAAATTGAGTTAGGCGATATATATGCATATATATATTTATTTATTAACCCCTAACCAATAAGAAGCCTCATAGAGGACCACCTATGAATGCACAAGAATTTGAGGCAACGTTCGCGTTTCACGCACACAAATTTGATGGTTGCTAGTGGTGATTAGGAAACAATTAATTAAAAAAGCGGAATATTGAATATAATATAAGGATTCATACTGGATTCGAACATTGAAGTGAAATTTAAATATTTTCTGGAATTTGTCTTCATAACAGTAATAGAAGTTCTAAATGAGGTGCAGTACTCAACCCAGAGTGCTTAAGTTGACATAACTCCGCTATTAACTGACTTTTGTCTTAGTAACAAACAAAAAGTATTAAAATTGAATAATAAATATATTAGATTTAGCTTTACTCTGTAACTACTCGATTAGCGTTTCATTAAAAATGGGTTTTCAAGTTAGGAATGTGTATTGATACGACTAGCAAGTGGGAGATTTATCGATTAAATGGACTCGTTTTTGCCAAAACGGGTGATTGTCTATTGCTTATTTTATCAGTATATAGTTGTTTGAGTGAATAAAATGTTACAAAAGACCTTTTCATCAACTTGGTTCCACTCGAAATTCAAAATAACTCAAGTAACAATAAGTATATAGATTAGCATGTATATTATTTGCGAAATGCAAAGTAAACATTAAATCTATTAATATTCATATGCCAGTAGATTCAGTTATGTGTATGTGTGTGCGTGTTTGAATAACAAAACTAATCCAATAAACTTTGCGTAAATATAAATGTTCAATTTCATGGAGATTTTCAAATTCCAAATTTCTCCCATTTCGAGCATTTTGTAAAAAATTCAATCTGATTATCTAATTAGTTCAAGTTTTATGATAAACTCATAATTTGAATCTGCGTTCTTATTAGTGGGAATAGGTGAGCAGAAATCCAATATCCCATTGATTGTAAGTGAGAAATAAATCATGATTTCTAAATCCAAAGTGAAATCCCAAATCGCTACGTCTCTAGTCCTGTGACACTATTAATTATTTGGTTACCCCATCAGGCCTTTCATGCATGAGTCATTACCAAAGATAGAGACTCCAAAGCCAATCTTGGGAAGGTTATTTTAGAACATTCTAGTTCCGGAGTTGACTACATTGTGGCTCCCAGGTGTGAAAGCACAGGTTTCTACACATTTCGTTTTTGAAACATACTTCAGTTCCCCTCCTCTCGAATTTTTTTCACTTTAATGTTCCTTCACTCTGTGAAGCCTGAAGTCAACTTAAGGGCTAATGATAACCATCAAAACGCCTGCAATTTGATATAAAAGAATAAATATTAACTTTGCTAAAAAACGAATTGAGATTCTTATCGGACCAGTTCAGGATTGTACTAATTAGGTGTTAATTTCTGCCGTGTGCCTGGGTGGCTGTTACTCACTAAACACTATACTAAATTTGCTAAATATTTTGTTTACCAGAAATTTTGTGCCAAGGAGCTCTTGCTAGCTTGGCTATTGGAAAAGAAATAACCGACAAAACTCAAGGAATAATGGTTTTAGGTTCAAAATTGCTTTCTGAAATTGAAGGAAAATGAAAATCAATCTTTCAAAACAGTAATCACCGAATAGTCGATGTCACCATCATAGCTTTAACATTTAAATCTATATTTCATTTGACTAAATCGTAATTTGTGCATGTTTTTTCCTGTTTAAACGCACTCTAGAATTCTTATCTATTTAATTAAATCATCGATTTATTTGCACTTTATATATTTTGACAGAAAATTTCTATTACTTAATTTAAATTCTTTATAAAGTGAAATATATGTATTTTATATTTGATTCAACAACGCCTATTCTTATTACAATATTTTCTACACAGCCAATGAGAATTGATCAATAAACGTTCTGAATGAAGTCAGTTTATCAAGAATGAGGTGTTTAATATTCACTAATGGATTTCTACTCCTTTATTTCAGAGTTCAGTACTAGTTCCACCTAGAACTAGATGATGCCAGCTTCGATGACTTCGACTTATTCTCGTATTCCTTCTGAGAAGAGAGTGTAGCGGATTGCTACCTTATTAAAGCCTAACTGACTCAGAAATCCCCGTGGCAGATCCTCCTACATCTAGCTAGACCCCCAGAACTAGCCAAGCTATAGCCCAGTTATAAAGGAAACAGACGTGTAGCATGGAGCTCGTTTATTCAGTACGAGTATTGCAGATAAAGTGTACACGCAGAAAGCTTAATCATGATCAGGATGGCGGATTAGGCTAAACAAACTGTTTGTACGGTCGCACCTATCAATTCTGGCGTGCAGGCATGCGATGACGTGTCCCACAAGGGTAAATAAAACAACGCCTGGTATTCCACTATCCAAATATTTTTTAGGATTATCCCTCCCCTTTACCCTGCCGCGTCATATTTTCAATGCTAAAGCTAACTAACAAATTTAATAATATGGCCTGCGTTGCCGATTTTTGAATATCTATCATATTTACGCAATAAGTACTTCAGTCTGGGAAAAAAAGATAATTCAATGTGTCTTAGCCAATCAAACCAGATTTTACTTTTATGGTAGGGAGAAATAACTGATATATGGCTATCACTATTACCCGTGAAAAAAAAGGAAAAATTAACAAGTTTTAAACGTGAGAAGTCGAGAATAGGAGAAATAGTTTGGGGAAAATATTTCCAATGCATTCATCTCTAGCATACTGTAGCGATAATAACAACGTAGAGAGAACTTGATGCGAGTAGAAGTCATGTCCACATTTTTTTCAATTGATATCTGTCAATAGGTCGTCCGAGACCAATGTCTTGTGGATGTTCATTTATCGCATATACCTGTGCAGAAAGGTGGTGCTTTCAATTCACCTAAATTCTCTTCATATTCATTTTGTCTAAAGGTCAAACAACGTAGAAATCATGAAATCCATGTAAAATTGTGTGCGCAATGCGCGTATTCACCCTTATGTTTGGTTCCAGGGAATGTACGATTTTACTAGTGCATTTCTGTCTTCACATAGCTTGTTAATCGACAGTCCCTAAGCATTCCTTTTTATTCTATTACAATTAATCCGACACACCTAGTAGACGTGCACTTTACTGCTTCTAAAATTTATTAATTTCAAATGGCAGGCGTTTTGATAACTATCATTTGCCATTTAGCTGACTTTGGGCTTCACAGAGGGACGGTTAATCAGACTAGCAGAAATTCGAGGGGTGGAGAAGAGAAGAGTGATTCACAGATGTAAAAGAGGAAAAAAGATACAAAGGTAGAGAAAAAGGTAAGATGAGTACTGTAGAAGGGGTCGAATATGACATACAGTGGGGTCATGGTGGTTTGAAGTCAGAAGTCAACTGCCGGTTTATAGACCTTTTTGCCGTATGAGTATACGTTGCCCAGGGTGCACCACGTGGAGGTAAGTCTATCGCGCACCCCTCTGCTTCCAAAAAATCTTTTTGAACTGTAAAATTATGGCTTTGGTGACGAAATGAACGCTTTGTGCTTAGGCTTAGCAACTTCGCTTGCCTACCAAGTCCATTTGAGGCAAGTGAACTGGGAAAATAAGAACGTTTCATTAGGAAAATGGGCATAAAGCACCGGAACACAAGTGTCTTTACTTAATTAGGTGGAAAGAGTTGTTCCACAAAGCTCGTGTGATGTTAACCACTCTTTTGAACACTCATTGGATAGTATCGACAGATTCTCGAATTTTGAGCCGAACTTCTTCCGTGATGATTAAAGAGCAGAACTTTTTATCTTTTAAAGCGAAATTAGGCTTAAAAGAGAAGCAAATCATGCCTAAACACAAGTTATTTGTTTCAAAATTTCAAAGAGAAACTTGAAAGTCCACCGGTAAAACTTTCCCGCAGCACGAAGATCCATCAAGAAAATGATTAATAACTTTCACATATTAAATTTTCCTGCGGGATATTTACGCAAACGTGCTAAATTGAACATACTTTGATCTGCGATACGTGTCAAATGAGAAATGGTAAAACCTATCCTGTTATTGAATTTTTTACGTCACTAATAGGGATTATGGATTGCCTTAGTAAAAATTAAAAGGGATAATATAAATGCACCTGTACAAAGAAGCATTTGGAGGTATAAACATTATCAAGTGAGTGACTAGAATGAAGGATGAACTTGTAGCATAAAGTTGAAAGTCTTCAGGTCTTGGTTTACAAATAGTTAGAGGAATGAGAAATTAGGTATGGATAATTAACGACCTTTGTGTCAATGACAGAGTATAAGTGACATATCGGCGTACATACAGGCATAACTTCACATTAAATTCCATTAAATGATGGCTTTCATTGCACTTTTCTCAAACTTACCCTTTCCTTTCCTATTCGTTATGCATTCGACTTACCTTGGCTTAAAAAATCTTAGTATTCTGCATTCTAGAACCGTTTTGTTGTTGTTAGGTTAAGGGTATAGTCTTAGATCCTAAATTGGCAACCATGGTTCTTTATTACCTACGATGTAGTTGACCCGAAAATTATCACCACAACTGAGTACTAAACATTTATCTTAGAAATATAATAGATTGAGATTCTAAATCTTTGAGAAAGGGAAAGGAGGTGAGAGAAAGAGTAAAACGAACTGTAGGAAATTCTGACAAATGTTTGCAGATTGTTGGGAACAAAACTTTAGCACGACAAATGCAGAAGCCTCTCGACCAATCAATGACCAAACCAGGACGACCAATCAACTGTCAAATCCAGTACGTAGTTACATTACTGGAAAGTGTATAGAAGGATTAAGTTCCACGTCACTGAATGACCGTGCTGAAGACTGTGCGGTAGCCAATTGATCATCTTGTCAAATAATTACCGCGCAGAATACACACCGATCTGTGGCATGAGTGCGAAGCAATGGACACTGTCAATTATTGGTATTGAGTTCATGGGTTTTAAAATTTATCTGGTTTTAAATAGTTGTGTAAGTTGCATCCATTTGGGAATAAAGTTGATGGGTTATGAATGGGAGTTCATTTTAAAATGCCACTTTCCATAAATATCACATTTAATTGCACAATGTAATTCCTTCATTGATTGTTTTATATCTTGTCTACTTTATATATTAATGGAAAGTGAATATATTCCTCATGAGGCTTTGTTAATATCTTTTTTATTTTCTTTTTCTCAACAAGATGATTATTCAATCAAACACAATTTATGATCATAATCAAATAATAGAATTTCGGTATTCATATTTCAATTAAAGGGAGTCAGTGTGACGGCAGCACAGATGGAGTAGGTTAAACCGCATAGTTACCGTCTATTACGAAATCAAGAAAGTAACCATAAGCTCAAGTAAAATCAATTTCATGAACCTTATTTAACAGTATCGATTGTCAAATCGAAAGAATACATGAAATGATGTGGCCAATTCATTAACTCAACTTTTGACTAATAGTGATTTGGTTGCTACTTGCTACAACAGGAATTCAAGTCACCTACAACCCCCACTAAAACATGAAACCCCGCTGAACAATGACTTTATTTCAATTATTCTTTTATCTTTGTTTTTTCTTCAATCTAATTAAATTAAACTAAATTAAATTTCTTTATACCATTGATGTGCGATACATACTCAGCTGTGCCAAACTTTGTGCAGGGTTTAGGAGAAATGATGCAATAACTAAACAATACGATTAGATAAATATGAGAACAATAATCACTTACGTATCTGCGTAATTACATTACATTTCTCTCTCTTATAAAAAATTACAACTGTGACAGATTGGTATTCGATTTTAATATACCGAATCATTGCAATGGAAAAATGTTGAGTAAAGACCCAAATGCTCGGGTACCATTTGCCAGATTAATGACGAGCAAGCTTACAGGTGGTAACTCGGTCCAATTTAATATTAAGCATACTCAATGCTAGTATCTAGAAGTATTTTAATACATTTTACCATTTAATTACCAGTTTAAAATGCTGAAGGAAGGTATAGTTGAAACGTCATTTTTAATAAACAAGTAAGTTAAGGTGATTATAATAGCTTTCCAGATAACTTAACTGAAATAGTGGAAAAATTTCTCCCCTGATCAAGAAATCATCACTAGATGCTTATAGAACTTTTGGGGATTGGCAATTAATTTTGACATAGGTTATTGTTAACCAATAGCATTCAACTTGGAAAGTTATGAACAAATTAACGTAAGTTATAAAGTGGGGATTACTCAAAAGCACGAGATGATAAGTTGACAAATATCATGTTCTTTTTGCCAACCTGGAAAACTAATTCTTATCATTTAAAAAAAACATGAATAATGAAAAATGCAATTATTAAATAAGGAATTCACTATTATCGTTTAAATGAAGTGTATATTTATATTCATTTTGCTTCAACAATTCTTATCATTTCCAGTATTTATTTGGAAACTGTGCAATTCTTGAAAAAAGTAAACCAAGTTTTTGGGTTAAAAGAAAGTTCCAACAGCTTTTCTGCAATATAGTCTGTTTATACTTCCGAAACAGGGCAACTTGTGTGAATACCGCCATGCATTAATTGTACTATTTAATTTGCCAATATGTCCCCATTTTATTTAATACTGAACCCCCCGAAAGGTGGGCTTGCATACTTCTCATTTAGTTATTAGTAACGCAGATATACGTTCTGGATATTTTGATATAATTATTTGAAACAGCCTACAGCAACAAAATCCATTAACTCATTTTATTATCTTAGTTAAACATACTAGTACAATCACGAATTTCAATGTTCTTGAAGCTAATATTTCACTTAATTGGACACCATAAGGTCAAAACATAAATAAAATTATATTTCTCAGTTTGTCGTAAGTAATTCATGAAATCTGATAAATGTTTTAGAAAATTAACAATTATTTTAAATGTGCGCATTTAATTATAAAATTAATTGATTTGATATATTTAATCGAATCCTGTTATTTCCTTGTAAGCTGAAGGATAGCTAGTAACGGCGGCTACTTTGAGTCGTTGCCTCCGTTCCGGTGTGTCGTTGGTACGTGTATAGGATGCTGACAACGGCTATAATAACATTGTATGTCGTTGAGCTAAATTTAAAATTTTATTCGAATAATTTTGTTTTTTTAATTTGACACATTTTTATGAAATATCAACTCAAACTCTTAACTAACCTAATATATTATATAAGCTCTACATATTTTTTTCCTCGGAATATTTAAGTTATTTTACATTTATTCAAATTAGAGTAATGGCGTCTACTGCGCGCAATGAAAAGAGACTCAAGGTACTTAGTCTTGTCTTTCTAACAGTTCAAACTACTGCATTGGTCCTGTTAATGCGGTACACACGTCTTCCATCTCCGAAAAATCCTATTGATGGTCTTTACCTAACTTCCACAGCTGTTTTCTGTTCTGAAGTCATGAAGGTTATTTTCTGTTTCTGTGCTGTTTTTATTCAAAATGCACAATCTCTTAAGGATACACGTGAAGAGCTGGAGATTGAACTTTTCTCAGCTCCGAAGGAGCTACTTAAACTTGGTATTCCAGCTGGTCTCTATACCATTCAGAACAATCTTCTTTATGTTGCCTTATCGAACCTCGATGCTGCTACTTACCAGATTACGTATCAACTGAAAATTCTCACTACGGCAATGTTTATGGTGTTGATGCTGCATAAGAAAATCACTTCGATTCAATGGCTTTCTCTTGTGATTCTCATCATGGGTGTCGCCTTCGTTCAAGTACGTAATACCTTTTTTGTCATGTTTGATCAACTCAATACATTTTCACGCATGGGAGCATAGAACCGCGAATTTATTTTTTATTAAATGTGAGTTCATTTTGTAATTGTGCATGTACTGCACTAGTGTGATTGTGCCACGTCAAAAGTTATTTTTACTAAAGTTCACCAGTCTAAAATAAAAATCTTTTTCTGCTCTGGAGAGAGTTAAAAATAAAATTACTTTTCTCAACTCTTCCTCCATTTATTATTTACTTTAATAAGTGAGTGAACTTTTTTTAAACGTAATGCATTAACGAATCCCGACATCGATTCAATCTATTTTTATTGAATTTGGAGCAAGTTTTTAAGATATCTTAATTTTTTACATTTCGGTTTTCTCTATGAGTTTCGGATTTCTTTGTAATATTTCTTAGAGGCACATAAAACTCTTCAAATAGAATCCAATGAAATTTCTGTGGGGGTTTTGATTCGCAACTATGTCGCAATACACAAGTTTACATCGCCTAATTAGGCTGCCATTTAACGTAGACGACGTGTCATCGATCCATTCCGTTTATTACCACACATGTTCCTCCTTACCACTGCTATGAGCGCATAAAGTTAACCTACTTTCTTTTTTCTCTCGCTTACTAAATTTATATTTTTGTTTTATTGTTTATTTGCAGTTGGCTCCATCTGCAAATGCGTCCACAAACACTGGCGCACAAGCATTGAAGGGCCAAAATCCCTGGCTGGGATTGACAGCAGTTATTCTCGCCAGTCTTTCTAGTGGGTTCGCTGGAGTTTTCTTTGAGAAACTCATGAAATACACCAAGCCCTCAATTTGGATTCGAAATATCCAACTTGGTAAGTTATACCATATCAGATCGTAATATTCTTGCGTCGTTCTGAAGAAAAATCACTTTACTAGCATTTAATATTAATAGTTTCGCCCAGTGTATGAATTTTGGCGTTATTGAGCTTTGGTGTCACATCTTTAAGGCCATCCCCCCTCTCAGTTTCACTTCGATCATCTCATTTCAGGCCCAACATTTTATGACGAGGGTAATTGATAGAGACTTATTTTATTAAAACATCGCGAATTGAAAGAGAGTTTTTTAATGTGCCAGAAATTTTAAATGATTGACACAAGTTGATCTACTACTTCATTAAAATTTTTATCAAACGAAAGGATTTACGATAGTTTTCATTAGCTCATTAATTGACTTCGGGCTTCACAGAGAGGGGAGGAACATCAAAGTCACAAAAAGTCTAGAGGACAATAGAAGAGGATTTCATAGATGTAAAAGAGACAGACAGAATGGTAGAGTACTGTGGAAGTGAAATCATGGTAGTTTGAGGTCAGAATTCAACTGCCGGTTTATAGACTTTTGCCGTATGAGTATATGTTGCCCAGATTGCACCACGTGGAGGTAAGTCTATCCCACATCCAACTTCACTGAAATAATTCCTCTTATCCGACATCTCTAGCCATGAGGGTCTGATTATACTTGGTTATTATTTTAATCAGTGGTGATTTTCTGGTAATAAAATCTGCCGCATTTATTTTCTATCTTCGACTCTTTTGGTTTGAAATCCACTTGAAAATGTTATACGGTTATACAGGATTGTCTTATTAGGAGATTTCATCGGTGGTATTTTTTTGTCCGTTGACGGAAAAATTTACTCATCAACTTGATTGAGATTGAAAGACTTTCAGAAATGCATTTTATGTGCACTTAATTTTGTTTTATTCAATGAATTTTGTGGGTAACAATTCTGCAAGTCATGAATTTGAGTTTGACTGTCTCTGTTTAACTAATATACTTTGGGTTTATACGGATGAGCTACGGTTGGCCAAACGACTCTTCCGCGTTTACCATTGGTTTCTGCCAAAATGAGCATGGACAAATGCCAATGTTTATTTTACAAATTTATTAATCTGACTAGTATTAATTGCCACTTGGTTATTCGGAGAAGATCAAATATACGTTACTCTTGAAGTGCCAATCTTACTGGCATCTTCGTTGAAATCTCTCAAGAAATGTGGTTGAACTTTTTTCCCATTTATTTAAACCTTCAAGCTAGTATTTGCGTTCTTTATCGATATTGACAGCTGGCTGCTTGCCTATCGATTATAGAGACAATTGCTCCACTTTCTGTCAAGATGGATGTAGATAGTTTAGGCGATTTTGTTAATCAACTTAAGGATTTATAACTTGATAACTTTTTTTTGAAACTAAAAATCAAATCCGATATGCTTTTTTTGCAACCATCGTGCCTTCCACATAGTTGTTTTTTGCTGCAAATTTGTAAATTTTCTACATAGAAGAATTGAGTCATGTGATGGTGATTGAATTCGTGTCCCTCCCCCCGATTTCCCAAATTTACCTACAGACCACGTGATGAATCAGTTGAATCGGGGTATATGTTGGGACAATTGCGGCATAGTTGTAATAGGATTGTGAATGACATGCTTGCGTATACACTCCTCGAATTCGTGCAACGTGGGGTCAGAATAATCGTCTCCTTCCTCTTCCTCATGCTTTCCTCATCCACTACCAAGCACCCTCTATTTTGTTCAGGCTATTTCAATCAAACCAGTGAACCCAGTCAACTTATTACTTATCCTTGCTCCGAATTCGGAAAATACTGATTTCAAACTTTGATGCTACAAGGGATGATAGTACCACCTAGTTACTTCCAAAATTGGAAATCCGAATTCTGTCATCCTACTTCTAATTTCAAGCTTAATTGGCCCGAAGTCAACTATAGGGATAATAAAAAAAGCTATCATAAAGCCTGCCATTTGAAATAAATAAAAGTTGAAATAAAAATTAGTAACTTTTAGTAATAAAAAGGTACTTAAACACGCGGAGAGGCCAAATATTCCAGTGGAATGGATCGTGCAAAGATAAGGTGTGTAGCTTGGTCCTACAAAATAGTGAGTTTGTAGTTTTCAACAAATTCACCACACCTCGTCCTATTCCAAGTCCAAGGTCCGCATCTGACCGTTGAGAATTGCCATTCTTTTTCATGACCGCGTTGGTGATTTGAACGTTTTGAAGTTATTGTCTATTCTCCATTACAGATTTGTGAGGTTGTAAGGACAGCCACTTTTGACACACAGTAAATGAATCCTTGTTGCAATTTCAGTTGCATATGTAGTAACATAGATCGAACTATTTAGACATTAATACGATTTTTGGTTGCAAAACTCCTCTTGCCACTGCGGTAATTTTAAAACCTAGCTCCCTATTAGGTATTAATAGACCATAGCTAACTCAGAACAGGGGAGAGAGAGAGAGAGAGAAAACGAGAGTATGCACGCTCAAAAATATCGGCTTACTTTGGAAATTTCTTATCACCGTAGCCAGTGTGAATATTGAACCCCCCTGTCTGTCGTGGTGGAATGTGTGATAAGAACAAAAGTTAGCCGATGAATGTCGGTTGACCTCATCACGCCGCGTTAGCTTGGGACCAATAGTATTACTACCTTTCCGCTTCAAAGCACCCTTTTTCACTTTCTCATTAGGTATATATTTACATATACGTGAGGAATAGCTAATCTATTGCGGTTTCTTACCATGGCCATAGAGGTATATACTATATAGGTATGCGCCAATGTGATGGAATAATAAAAAGGCCCTTATTTACGGTATTGCATCACTATTGTTCCCTAAAATATTATTTGAAATTGAAAGTTCTCTATAAATTAACCTAAATCATTCTCTAGTCTCATTAATTTTGATATTTCCTCGATTTTTGACTACTTTGCACATATGGCTCAATGCCTAGAAAAATCTATCGTTTCTCATCTCGTCCCAGGGGTGCGCGATAGACTTACCTCCTCGTAGTGCACCCTGGACAACGTATTTTCTTACGGCAAAAAGTCTATCAATCGGCATACGTTTTTGACTTCGATTAATTATGATTAGCTTTGAAAAAGGCTATAAGAAAAATCGCCCTCCTCAGGGCGAATCACAATGTCTTCAGATCCTCCAGTGGAATGCTGGAGGAATGTCTTCGGACAAAAAGATCCAAATACAGAAAATCCTGCAAACCTATGATGTAGACATTTTCACAATTATGGAAGCTAACATTTCGGATGACAAACTGAAGTATTACCAATTCCCAGGTTA